ACAGTCCATTAGCTACTCACCACCCAGTCTCCTATTTGTCACCCCCAGGTGTTTCCCAGTATATATAGGGTCATACGGAGCCCGCTGGTTCTCCCCCACCCCACAGGTGCCCGCATTCCCACTATCTGTGAAACCCCCCCCAGAGATTGCCTGAATAGGAGGGGGGGGGGGTACTGCCCTATAATCAACACCTGGACACCCCTAGTCCTTCAGCCACTATAGTATTTTACCACGAAAGACTTATTTCTATTATTACTTATTCTCAGCATCCAAATCCAAGCTCAACTTCTAACTAATTTTTTCGCCTTGATTGAACTGACTGGAGAAAATGATTATGGCCAAAATATTTATTTTTGTGAATTTTTATCCATAGAAGAACCGTTATGATTGTACCCACATCTATCCTTTCAACAAACACTTCAAGCTGGGCCACAGTTGCATTACGATTACTTGATTACTTTTATTAATCATGATTACAACCCCCGCACCCCCCCCCCTTCCCCCACTGTGTTTCACTGTGTTTTTCTAGTTCAAAGTAATTATATGAAAGAAAACTGAAGATTTCAAATTTTATTAGATTACAGCATGAACACATGCCTGACTTCCCTTGTTCCATCAGGGGACCGGACATGTTGCAATGCGCCCTTAACATAAAACTTTTCAGTTATAACTGGTTGCAAAACATTATTTAACAAGAGGAACGTCTCAGCATTACATCGGTGCTGGTTTTGTGGTGTTTGTAGAGGAGAATACAAAATAAAAGCCCTAAATAAATGAGCAACAGGTGTTAAAATTGAAGCGTAAGTCTGTCCCCCGGTCTATGATCAATTAGCCAGCGTGATGCTGCTGTGTCCAGCCTATTTCAAAATCGGCATCAGATCAATGAAATGTCGATTTTTTTTTTCACCGCAGCAGTTTGCCAGCCAGTCATCCATCTTCCCCATCTTCCATACTGTTTATAAGCCCTTAATCCATCTCAGGTCATACTGGGAGGACCTTGAGTGGGATAACAGCTTGACATCGTTTATTGAGGAAATGTTGCGCTGAGCAATCTGCGGACAAAATATTATCATGATTGCAAACCATAATTAATACCCATTGAAAGAAATTATGTCTATTAATTTTGTTAGACAAAGTATTTGCATAAAGTTGTTGATCTTGATCAAGCAGCAAAGCAAATTAATTGTTGCAGCACATTGTTTGCACTTCTATACTTATACGCCAGGATTATTCCAAAATGGCCTCATCACGGCCTTCAGTTACTCTCTCAGGGTCCCTGCGGCTTGGGCTGCATGCTCATTGGCTGGAGCCAAAACAGCTTCCTATTGCCAGGTCGAGTAGTGAAGGATTTATTAAATGTTAACGCAGAATGTCTCTGCAGAAGAAAAACAGGGGGTAAAGTGCTTCAGGTTAATATTTAATGCCCTGACCCGACGCCTGTTTAGTACATAGAAAATACTCAGGACCCCACGATATCGTTTGACAGGAAGGAGAGCAAACAATCAGTAAACACTAAACAATTTTACCAAAAAAATGTTACTAATGCTGCGATGATATGCAACGTTTTACACTATGAAATGGGACAAAAAATGTCATAAAACACACTTAAGAGAGTATTTTGGAACTACTGGATGGCCTTTCCCAGTGTAATTAAGCTACATGCTATATGACACACCACACGCACCAGCAATCATTTATATAGTCCGCTGTCCTTTCCAGGGCACTTAATGACCTTATTTTGTGTTCTGGATCAGCGTCCCAGCTGTGACATAAACCCAGAAATCCAAAACCCGCGGCCCCGCTCCTTCTCTGACCGGCCTGTGTCAGAATCTACCCCAGATGTAGGTCCCCTCTCAGGCCCCAACCTCAGCTTGTTGTTGTCAAATATGTTAAAACTGTTTGAATAGGTCAGCATTACTTGTTATACATTACCCCAGCAGCCAAGTATCACTCAGCTCCTTCATTTAACCCTAGAAAATGATTTTTCACTCGTTCTAGAGATGTAATCCAACCTATCGGATCTGACTTTACAGACACAGGTGTCAATTCAACCTATCAGATGTGACTTTACAGAAACAGGTGTCAATCTTAAATATCGGATGTGACTGGATGTGACACCATCCATACTCCATGCATTCTGCAGATCTTGATTTCAAGGTGTCAAGTTTCTCAGTCATGGATGGACATTTGGAAGATCAAAGCAACATGGAAAAATGACATTACTATGAACTGAAAATACAAGACCTGTCTGGGACCATAGCCTGTGTTATGTGTGTTTATACTCTGAAGCAGATTCTTTTGAAAGGCACAGAACCATAGAGCAGTATCTCCCAATCCGGTCCATGGGAACCCATAGCCGGTCCACATTTTTGATCCCTCCAAGCTCTCTGTCAGGTAGTCCACATTTTTGCTCCCTCCCTACCAGGAGTTGGGAGCAAAAATGTGGACTGTTTATGGGTCCCCAAGGATTGGATTGGGAAACACTGCCAGAGAGCACCCTGACCCAGACTTCAAGAAGCCCCGTGAGATGATCCCAATGAAGAAAAGGTATGAATTAACTGGAGCTCCTGAGGAAGGCATTGAATAAACCCCGCTACCCCATACTCCCCCCTCGAACCACGCACAAGCCCACACACCGTTTTAGCGCCGTGCTCCATGTTGTTCTTGGGCATTAAAAAATGCCCCAGTGCTTCTTACATTCCACGACTATGTAGACAAAATCCACAGCCCCAGAACGTGGTGTGTGTTTCCCTTCCAAGAAACTCGCTTTGTGGTTGGCCAAGATGCTCGGAATGTGCGCAAAAGTATTCTGTGACATGTGATTCACGACCTCTGTCTTTCCAATGTCTTAAGATATGAATCGCTTATTAAATCCACGTCTGCCGTCTCGGTGGCTCTGATCTTCAGCTTCCTGAATGCTGAATACCTCGTCCCTTTGAGATGATCCACTGTAGGTCCTGGAAGCTCACCAAGACCCCAGAAGGCAGGCCGTTTGCGGTAACCTCAGCCGTTTAAAACTGAGCTAGTCAACACAATGCCACAGGCCAGTCTCCAAGGAAATGACTGAGACACTTTTCTTGGCTACTTCCCAGAGTAGAGTTCCTTTTCTTCTTTTGGAAGCC